AAATGGTAATGAAAGAGCTGACCAGCTGGCAAGTAATACACCAATGCAAAGCATGAAGCATGTCTATGCTGCCTTTGAGGTAAAGACAGGAGATACTATAACCAGCTTTACAAGGGTACAATCAGTAGTGGTATCTTAGGGCTGTCTGCAAGTCAGGACTCAGCATGCGTGGAGCTGCCCAATATACAAAGGCGTCGATTGGGATAACATAACATAACCATCTTCATCTAGGAGTTAGTAGTAGAATGTAAAGGACATCCTGTTCAACCCATCTGAGTCGTATTAGGGATATATATCAATTTTTGTTTCTATTTTGACACTGGATATTACGGATATATATGTATAGAGATTAGTGTTTCTATTTGGACACTGGATATTAGGGATATATATAGATTTTTTTTTCTATTTGGACTGGATATTAGGGATATATATAGATTTTGGTTTCTATTTCGACACTGGATATTAGGGATATATATCGACCTAGGTCCCATGAGAGAATGCATTCTATGTCCAGTGGTTTCAAACTTCGGCTATCCTCCAAATAATTAGCACAAAAGATGGCGGCTGCAAAAACACCTTAACAGAGCCTCAGTCATGTGTCAATTGCGCAATTTCTGCGACTTAATTTGTGGTTTTCAAGCGACTACCACCACCGCAGAGTGAGCGGCGTGAATTGGGCTAAACAAGATGGCTGGGACTCACGAGCAACAGCTTCCACATCTCCTGCAGCTTTGCTCATGAGTCCTAGCCATCTAGTTTAGCCCCAATCCACGCCTCGTGAGCGGTGTGGAGGATACTCTCTGCGGTGGCGGTAATCGCCGGAAATCTGCAAATTAGGTCACCGGAAGTGCACAATTGACACGTGAGTGAGGCCCTGATTTTGACCGCCATCTTTTGTGCCCGAAGGATAGCCTAAATTTCCTAACATTCTGCCGTAGCCTGCAAAACGCTGAGTTGTTGCAGACATGCAACGCTACCCTCCTCACGCTTGCCAACGCGGACAGCTGAAATAAACTCATTTCCTACTGAAAATTCTAGACGGCTGTCAAATACTTACAAACACCAGTTCTGCGTACGAGTCAGACTACAATGTGGGCGGCCGCTGCTCACTGAAGAACGATTAACAAGCAACGCATACATTTTATAAAAGCTTTGTGAATGGGGACACCCCTCTAATCTTGAGCAACGTTGACCAGCCTGACTAAACATTAATGAAAGGTCAGCTAGTGTGGAAATGAGACCGAGTTCGTTACTAGTAATTCCGAACGTTTAATATTACAAAGTTTATGTTTTAACCGCTGTTTTAACCGCAAGATCACAGGACCATCTCTTCAAGCCGCCATACTGAACCAGACGACAGGTTTGGATGGAGTCAAAAAACGATATTAAAGACGTGTTAAGACTAGTTTTGTTTACTTTCTTGTAGTTATAAACTAAGAATAATCTCCGTGAGCGAATTTATTTGTTACAGCTATAGATAAATGACGTTTTACCGGAGATATACATGCAAATGGTGGATTAGAGTGCCGTGATAAATAACTTACGCGTTGGACAATGGTGAACCCCTGACCTTTGACTTGTGATGGAAGGTGGACTGGGGAGGCGTGGCTGGGTCTTCGTGTCGTGTAGGGCAGTGTTCTTCAACTTGTTGGTCTGTGTACCCAAAGCAGAACAAAGCAGCAGATGCAGATTTCAGCAAATATTTAATTGTCACCTTTATGACATGGGGGCACACTGGTGAAAACAAAAGTGATTGCAGTCAAGCTGGTATCTAAAAATTGAATATAATTACAAACGACTAAGTAGCTCATCGAAGCAGGAAAGGGGTAAAACTACTAAAACTCGACTTTCGCCTGAATATTCGTCTGACTTTCTGTGTATGTGTTTTTGATGCTTTTCCCCCTTCTAAATATCCTACCCCAAACAGGTGAAATCTACAGGTCACGGGGCAGTGTAATATTTCAGGGGGTGGTAGATAGGCTTTATGCAGTCGTGGAACCTAGGTTAATTCAGTCGTGAAACCTAGGCTGCACTCTCTTGTGAGACTTGTATGTGGGTTGGGTTATGGCGAGTTCTAGATGATTTGGGACGTTAAAATCAGACAGCCGGGGAACCCTTCTACCACCCTCTAAAAAGTTGAACTGTCCTGTGACGTCATCTGGGGTAGGATAATACGAAAGAACCTGTTTTATTCATTCTTTTAATAATTGAGCTTCTTGGTCACATTTCAGCGCATTTAGAGTGGGAGTATTTTTGTTTTCTGAATGGGGCCATAGAATTCCCACTGGGATCATGAAAAACAAAATTGCGAGCTGAAGTAAATAAAAAGACGAACCACTTCTGGAAACATCCGGTGGTAGGAATAAGATCAAGCAGACATCAACAGAGCTAACTTGTGGATGTCGACCCTTCAAATTTTTTGTCGGATTTTGGTCGCCACGACTCAAGATTTTTCTCTCATCAGTCTGATTATAAGAGGGTATTGTTATAATATAAATAAAGATACATTGACCTCCCCATGTAGTTATTAAAAGATGAAATTCTATTCTTTACGTCCTCATTTACCTTTACTTTTAGTTTTACTTTTACTGTTTACTTTTTTTATTTTTAATTATCGCTTCGGGTATGGAGGGAGATAATTATAAGTATACAAAAAAAAGGAATAAGGTCCTGCTTCGACCAAAGACACATCATAGTGCTGCAGATTTTCCCTGATACTGTCATACTGTCTTCCCTTCTTTGTCTACGCCCCATCTCCTCTTTAGGTATATGCCTTGTATTACTTGTATGGCATAGCATTAGAAGGCATTCGGCTCTACTTGGAACGGCACCATAAAATGGCGGCCGTAATGTGATGCTGTTCGAAAGAGAGCTAAATTGGCCACATTCTGGCCAAAAAATATCCGAATGGGGCTCAGTTCTATAAAAAAAATATGCTGGCTCCGTACAACGAAACAAATGCTCTAACAGGGTCTCGGAGATATGTTACTTGCGGTATCCTCCGCGCCGCTACGCACGGCGCGGATGGGGATTAAACTAGATGGCTGAGACTTACGAGCGGCAGCTACCGCATCTCCTGCAACTTCCGCATCTCCTGCAACTTCCTCCAGTTACTTTACTCGTGAGTCTCAGGCACCTAGTTTAGCCCCCCATCCGCGCCGTGCGTAGCAGCACGGGCGATTATCTCCGCGATGAGTTTAATCGCGTTTGGCACATGCCGACAAGTCTGACATCTACCGCTGCTAAATCCTCCAATCGGAAGAACACAGTATTGCTAATCGGCTTTCATCATCTGTAATGTCTCACAATTGGTCAACGGTTGCTAATATCGTCTGCAGAAACGCTCGAAATTGTTGTCACCGGTCGGTATTTATCATCTGCTACTAGTACCGTGTGCAATGTTGATATTGATTGTCAAGTAATCCTAGTTTTGCCACGATTTGTTCCTTGGCAGAAAGTCCGTATTTTAGATACGCCTGAACACCGTTCGGATATTTTTGGATATTTTATGGCCAGAATGTGGCATCATATTACGGCCGCCATCTTATGGTGCCGTTCCAAGTAGAGCCAGGCATTCTCTCCAAGTTGCGAGTTGAAGAAAAGAAAATGACGAACCTCCTCGGGGGGGGGGGGGGGGGGGGGGGGGGGGGGTAGTGGAAAGAATAGACCAACTGCACCTCTGACAAGATTTCAGATAGGGAAGAGCCAACAATCTGCTCACAAACAGGCCAGCTGGGGATCCGTCTACATAAGACCATAAGTCCTGGAACAAGACCACATTCGAGAAATGGACAAACAACCAGAGCTTTCCATCAGAGTTTTAAACCGGTCAGTGCATAGAAATAGTCGGCACAGTACCTATGAATGATTTCATAGAACATCAAAGAATCAAATGGTTTAGTCAGAATAGAATAAAAGCAGACAGCAGCTAGAAATTACTTCGTGATAGCAGCAGTCTACAAGACCACGATATGGGTGGATGGAGTAAAAGAGACACTACAAAAATACAATATGACATTAACACAAGCTAAGTAACTAGCAAAAGACAGGAAACTCCCCTGCTATTTATCACATATAAGGATCATATCAGTTAAGCACCCCAGGTTAATGACAAGTGCTGTGATCTCCTCTTTGGGGATGACCCTGTCCTCATGACAGCTACAAAGAAAGAGCTGCAGCAATACTTGGATAATATTAACAGCAGCAAAAACACAGAACTTAAAAATTAACCTAAAAAACAAATTATTATTTATGATCACTTCAAGAGCAGAACAGTTCTAGCAAGCAAAAGACTAATGAGCATAATATCATCCAGTGGAAAAAAGAAGCAGAGACAGAACACAGAGGTAATAAAGCGGATTAAATCATTGGACAGATGTCAGCAATATTGTAGGACAAACATGAACACTTGGCACCAAAAGTGCACTATTCAGTGCAGTATTTTTACCAGCATTGTGTTAGCAGTGCCAAACTTGGACATTAACAACAACAGAAAAAAGAAAAATCAAAACAATCAAAATCAAATGTCTACGATTTGGTAGCAGACTGTTTGCAATCATTTTGACGTTTGTTATGTGGAAAACTCATCATTGTGTAGCTGGTCCTGTACAGAATGTCACTCCTGTCACAGCTTGCTTGAAAGAAACCACCTCCCCTGCCCAGTTCCCCTCCTGGGGTAGGGGGATGCAGTTTGATTATTAAGGGCGGGGGCAATTAAAAAATGGACTCATCCAGAGTTTAAGTTACATACGGGGCATAAGCAGTTTAGAAAGGCTTAGGTGGGGCATGGCACAGACACAGGTTGGGAAACACTGTTTTAGAATGTCAGTATTTCTTTTCTTCTTGGTCCGTAGTATTAGTCGCAAACTATTGAATTTAAAGTTTCTAGCTAAACCACATTACAGCCACTAAGTGCTGGTTTGAGATGACCCAGAGAGGATATGTAACTAACTAGCTATTTGGTCCTGATTTCTTCTAGATGTTGATGTTCTTGGGCTGCAATGGATGAGTATCCAATGTCTGAGTTTGTTGCCGAAGGACAGGCCAGGGAGAATCAAGAATTGCTGCACCTGTTTTATCGGTCAGGGGAGCTCTGCGATGTTGATATCACAGTGAGTATATCATCAACATCATGTGCCATCTATTACACATCCTCGGGAAACCAGTGCTTTATGTCTTTAGTCAGTTCCCAAGTCTTGATAATGGCATTGGTTCTGTTTGCACCAGTGCAGTATTTAAGAGGCCCAGACATAATTATATTTGCCAGAAATATAATTTGAGAAAGGGGTTTATTGCACACACACGCGCGCACACACAAACATAATTTTGTATTTGGTAAAGTCATTGGGACATCATTTTAGCAGACCCTAGTGATGTGGTCACATTATGAGTTTCTGTATACATTTGTTTTTTAGGCCTAGGTAATTAAATTCCATTTAATTCTATGTTGTCGTCATGCTATTGATTACTTTTCTTCACATATTTCAAAAATGGGTGAGCCTAACTGTGACCTATTTGTCTAGGTGGGCAGCAGAGTATTCTCCTGCCACAGACTGGTCCTGGCTTGCGTTTCTCACTACTTCCGAGCCATGTTTACGTCCAAGATGGCAGAAGCCACGGAAAAATCCATCACAATCCAGGACATCGAGGAGGAGGCCATGGATAAGCTGATCCAGTTTGCATATACATCCAGGATCAAGCTGAGCACTGAGAACGTGCAGTCGCTCTTGTATGCGGCTTCTATACTGCAGATTGAGACGGTGGCTAATGCTTGTAGCAGCTTCATGCAGTCCCATCTTCACCCATCAAATTGTATTGAGGTATGATTATATGTTATTTGTCTTTCCTTTCCACCCATCAAATTGTATTGAGGTATGATTATATGTTATTTGTCTTTCCTTTCCACCCATCAAATTGTATTGAGCTATGACTATATTTTTTTGTTATTTTTCTTCCATCAAATTGTATCAAGGTATGACTATATGTTTTCATATCTTCTGCATCCGTCAGATTGTATCAAGGTATAACTCTATGTTGTTTGCCTCTCATCTTCATCTGTCAAATTTTATTGAATTATGACTATATGTTGGTTTCTTTTCATCTCCTTCCATAAAATTTTGTGAAGAAAAGACTATACATTGTTTTTAGCTCATTTCCATCTGTCATATTGTATTGACGTAGGACTATATTTTCTGTTTACCTTGTCCCCATCTGTCAGATTGTATAGAATTTTGATGATATGTTTTTCTCATCTAATCTCCACCCAAACCATTGTATTTATTTAATCTGTATGTTGTTTTATTCTAGCCGTGCACAAAGTTCTGTTTTGTAGCATTAGGTCCATTTATCTCGTAGTGTTCATTTGTCTCATAATACCCGTTTACTTCTGCAGTGAAACACTAAACCCTTTGTTTTACTTACCCAGGTTCGCAGCTTTGCACAACAACATAACCGCATAGAGTTGATTAAAACTACTGACGGCTATATAAGAGATAACTTTATCGCAGTCTGCCATACAGAGGAGTTCCTGCAGATGACTCCAGACATCTTGGTGGAGTTCATCTCTTCGGCCGACCTGAATGTTGACTCGGAGGAGCAGGTCTATAATGCTATCATGAGGTGGATTGGTCATAGACCTGGAGATCGCAAGAGCCAGCTGCCACGGCTGTTGGAAAAGGTTTGTTTTCAGTTGTGTGTTGTTAATGAGGGCTGTCTGTGTTGTTAATGAGGGCTGTCTGTGTTGTTAATGAGGGCTGTCTGTGTTGTTGTTGCTGTTATTGATCCAGCGGCGCATGAGCTTTCGCCCTTTGGCGCAATGCCATGTAGTGGAATTAACATGTTTTCACTAGCTATTCTTTTCCTCCGTACAAGGTGTTCCACCTGTCTGGTCTCGAAGGGAGTAGCATTCTTCTAGTCTCGTTGAGTTTTGGGCACTCAAAGAGATGATGGTCAACAGTTTCGTAGGGGTAGTTAAATAGCTGGCACTCTGGGGAGTGTTGTGGCTGTATTCTGTTTAGGTGTCCATTGAGTGGAGTATGTTGTGTTCTGAGTCTGAAGATGGTGGCCTGGTCCCTTCTTGTTAAATGGTCAATGCTGTCATTAGGATCAGGGCTAGCCATGTGTCTATAAACCTCTCTTCCAGTATCTCCCATGGCCCATCTGTTCAGCCAAGTCTCTTTGTTTATAGCTTTAAAAGTGTTTTTGCTGTCCGTAGGGTTGTCGGTTGTCGCTGTAGGTGGTTGTTCTTGTGTTGCTCCTTTCTTTGCCAGTCTGTCAGCTCTGTCATTACCTGGTGTGCCTGAGTGGCCTTGAATCCACTGCATCACTATTCTGATGTTGTATGAGGTAATAAGCTGATCAGCATCCAGGATTATCTTGGCTTTGTCAGTTCTGCAGCGTTCACTGCCCTCCAGAGCTTGAAGGGCAGACACTGAATCTGTGAAGATGATAATAGTTTGGGCCTTTGAAGGATAAACATCCATTACAGTCTTTAGGTGGTATACAGCTGTTTCGGCTTCATAATTTGAACAGAATTCCCCGCATGCATCAAATATCTTTTCAATAGATCCATCAGGGTAACCTATGTAGATTCCGTAACCTGCTTTAATGGTAGCTTTGAATGCAGATCCATCAGTATAAACATGTATCTATTCTTCGGGGTAAGAATCAATGGTCTTTAGTGATGAGTTCATAAGGGTGATTGGATCGGACTGTTTAGTTTCTTTGTCTATCAATTTCAACCGGACTTCTGGAGCTTTAAAGCGAACATGTGGTGGTAGGTTTCTTGCAACATTCTGAGTGCCCTGACGTCTTTCTGGGAGGTGGTATCTGTCCTGTAACTCATGAACACAGTGTAAAACTGATTTGTGCTTTATTCTTTGTTTGTATTCCCAATTTTCTATAAGGTGTCTATTAGGATGGTTACGATTCTTTCTAATGCATCTTTCATAAATTTTTTAAGTGGCTTTTTCTCCCCCCTAACCCGAGGGGTTCCACATTTGTATGGATTTCTCATGCAGCAGCTGTAGTAGACCGCATAGCTCCGCTGATTAATCGGAGGGCATTATTTTGTACTCTGTCCAGATACTCTAGGTTTGTCTTGGAGCAGGTTGCAAGCAGCGAGTTGTTATACTCTATCACAGAGCGAACATATCCGAGATACAAGCCCCTCAGTGTTTCCTTGTCTGATCCCTAAGCTGTACCTGCAAGTCGCTTCAATAACTGCAAACGCTTCAATGCCTTATTCCTGATGTTTTCAGTATGATTCTTGAGGCTCAGCTGCCGGTCAAGTGTGGCTCCAAGATATGTAGGATGCTCTTCTTTCACTGGTGCTTGTCTAACTTGAGGTTAATATTCTTCCTTGCTACTTGATGGCTTTTGGTAAAGATTGTGTAGACCATCTTTGTATAGTTAACCTTGAGTTTCCATCTTTGGCAGTACTCGTGCAGTCTTCTAAGGTCTCCATTAAGTCTTTGGGCTCCACTTTCTATATTTCCCTGACGCTGCCATATTGCTAGATCATCAGGGTACAAGGCTTTTTTGGCCTTGATTTGTTCTGGCAAGTCATTGATAAAGATTAGAAACAGTGTACAGCTTATTGATGTTGTTGGTATTGGTACTGTCTATGTTACAGGTTTGTCTGTGTTGTTCTTTGTACAGTCTGTGTTGTTATTGGTACTGTGTTGTTATTGGTACTGTCTATTTTATCAGGATTGTCTGTATTGTTAGCAATAATATCTGTATTATCAGGGCTCTGTATTATGAGGGTTGTCAAGACATCTTCATTACACTAAAATCTATGGTTATGAAAAACAATAAGAAGCATCCTTGTCACACTGGTATTCTGATTCCAAATATATCCATTAGTTTTTCCCTGGTGAATCTCTGCATTTAATATACTCATAATTTTCTGTTGGATCGCATATTGCTTTATCAGTTTCCTAAGATATTTCCTGTTAATGCTGTCAAAGGCTTTTTCTGAGTTCACAGATCCATTCTAAATAATCACAGGCTGTATCATAGACCCAGTCAAACTCCTCTAATGATAGCACCATCCCAAAATGCTGAACCTGAAAATAGTATAACTAGAATGTTTTTACACAGGAACCTACACTGGCATAGAAATAAAGGCAGACCAGAAAACACAGTTAGAAGGAAGCTAGAGAGTTAAGTTAAACAGATGAGGAGGACAAAGGGTGAGGTGCATGCAGTAGCATAGGCTAGAACGACTGGGTGTGAGTTGTTTGAGAGTATATGCTGCATTGGAGGATAAAGGGAAGAAGAAGAAGAGGAATAATGGACGTGTGCTGGAGACATGCTGTCTACATTCAGCAGAGAGATTCCAGGTCTGGCCCATTAGCCTTCCACTGGAAACCAAACTGTTTGGATCAATGGAGGACATGCATCACACCACAGCCTTCTTGTCTGAAAATGCTGGCAGGGAGAACAGAAAGAAGAACAAATGAACGGACTGTAGTTTTAAAGGGTCACATATTGGGCATGCAGGCCTGTCTTACATTCAGCCCTTCCAAACACTCATCTTTCAGAGCGCACTTGTTGCTGAGTGCAACAAAGCCTCACATATAATACTGCAACATCTATTTTCAGAATGGAGGTGGAGGCAGTCACTGCAGCCTTCCACTGGCTTTAATACTAGCTGTACACACATGTTGTAATTGTAAGTGGCTCACTGAGCATGTTAAGAAATGTGGAGACGTATGCTCTGTGCAAAGCGGCAAACATCGCTTCAGATATCCTGGGTATTTAGTATCCTTTGGCCCGGCTCGCTAGCGTAGTTGGCTAAACCGGATTGCGTGGTGACCGGGTGACGAACTCCTTGTGGTAAGGGTTCACACCTGGGGGTAGGCAGAAAAGCCACATTTCTCCCAGATTTACGGTATTTATCATGGAATCAAGGCCGAAGGGTTGCGATATCCATAATACCGAGTCTAAGGGTTAACAACTCATGACTCATGGATATGTAAAAAAAAAAAAAATTAGTATCCTTCAGGTTGTGCTGATGTTTTGGGAAATAAACAGGCAGATGGACTGACTGCTTCTGCACCACTTGTTGGTGAATTGATGCATGGCAAACTAAATATTGTAACAGTTCTTTAGGAGTGAGGGATTGGTGCAGAGGCACAAATGGATCATCACAGTCTGAGGAGAAGTGAGCAGGGGATCTGGTCCATGGTCAACACTCAGAAGAAGGGTAAGACAGATATACATTCTAGCTGTTACTGGTAACATGGGAATTGGAACTCTGCGCTTGCTGCTGAAAATGGTGACGGAGCACTTATGGGAATGTCCCCTCTGCTGTGATGTTGATTCTTAATTCAGAATTCAACAGACCAAAAAATGTATTTTTCCTCCATAGGTCAAGTTGCCACTTCTCAGTCCTGCATTTCTCATAAACAGTGTCGAGCGGGATGAATTCATTCGCAACAGTTTAGAGTGCAGAGATTATGTTAATGAGGCTAAAAACTATCAGATGTCATTGGCTGATCTTGTTCCAGAGGTTAATATCACCCAGAGATCACGACCAAGGAAGAGTTATGCAGGCAGGTTTTGATTCTGTTTAAAAGATTGTTTCTTCTTTTGGGATAATTTTTTTTTTTTTCAACATGTCAAATTATCATATCGAATGCGTACGATATCATGGAATGATAGGAAAACAAATGAGGCAGGCCACCCTGAGACAGATTTAAACTGATTAGAAAAGTAGATGAATAAGACTGTGTTTTTTCAGACATGTTATACCTTCCCCTTGCTCTTTTACCATCAGTCTTTCCAGTTGTTACCAAGGTCTGGAGTCCATTTATGAGATTGCAGGAGAATCACCTCAATTTCCCATGGTAGTAATAGGCTTTCTTCTGAATGTTCACAGACTGTAAGCTCTAGCATAAAGTTGTTGTTGTTGACCCACTTCTGGGCTTGGTTTTTGTTCCAGAACTTGAGTTTTGCCTGCACATCCATTTTATTGATCTAGCTTATGTGTATGCAGACTGTTGGTCCCTTGCCTCTCAGGCAGATGCACTTTGACTTTGAAGGCAAAACCCCCAGTTGAGTCACCTTGTATGACATGTTAGGGGAGCAGTGGGTCTCAGAACCCATACAGGGAGACAAAGCCAGTATCTTACTGAGTGTATATCCACACATAAATGTTTGTTTACAAATGATTTACATGTGGAAGTGTCAAGTTCGTTGGGGATGCAGACATGTTGAACCACATGTGGTGATACACAAGGACAGAGGCTCACTGGTCAAGACCTGCCTGCACTTCTCTGGTCATTCTAGAAACAGGTTCCCAAATTGGATGAAAGTGTAGACAGGATTGATGTTTCCTGCAAAGTGTCTGCCTGAGCAGTGAGAAACCAACAGTCTGCATACAAATGAGCCTGGTCTGTAAAATGGATTTGCATGCCACTCTCAAGTCCTGGAACAATGCCACGTTTTAGAAGTGGACAAACAACCAGGCACACATGAAAAATAATAATAAGAAGAGGTTCATTGCACCGGGTTTTATCCCATACGTTTTAATCTCTTTATAATGCTGCTGCCTTCCTTCTGATAGCATTAGACAAAGCAGGAACTCTAAATATCCAGTGGCAGTCCCCAAGGATCACACACACAAATTGTTCTCATAAACCAAACAACACAGACTGGTAAGAAATCAATGACCTTATGAGCCCAGTACAGGATGCTTGGCCACTTCATTACAGAGAAGCCCTGACAAGTGGACCTGGCCACTTCATTACCGAGAAGCCCCGACAAGTGGACCTGGCCACTTCATTACCGAGAAGCCCCGACAAGTGGACCTGGCCACTTCATTACCGAGAAGCCCCGACAAGTGGACCTGGCCGCTTCATTACCGAGAAGCCCCGACAAGTGGACCTGGCTACTTCATTACCGAGAAGCCCTGGCAAGTGGACCTGGTCACTTCATTACCTAGAAGCCCTGACAAGTGGACAGAAAGCACTGCTGTTCTGACCTGGCAGCTTCTGCAGCATCATACTGGTGTTATCTTTTCTCTGGAGTTAACAAAGCAACACATAGTCTTTATAAAACTACCTAGGCTCTGTGGGTATTCCATGCTCTTGAACACATCTTTTTTTCTCACTTGCAGGAGTTTTGTTCTGTGTTGGAGGCCGTGGTGCTTCAGGTGACCCATTTAAAAGCATCGAGTGTTATGATCCTCGCCAGGATCGGTGGTTCCCTGTCGCAGACATGACAACCCGGCGCAGACACGTTGGAGTTTGTTCATTCAACAGTGGGTGCATTTTTTCTTTGTGTTTGATTATGATGGATGTCTGGATTTACATTTTGATTGATTGTTTTTCTTTTTCTTCTTCTTTTTCTCCTTCTTCTTCTTCTTCTTCTTCTTCTTCTTCTTCTTCTTCTTCATCTTCTGCTTCTTCTTCTTCTTCTCTTCTTCTTCTTCTTTTCTTCTTCTTCATCTTCTTCTTCTTCTTCTTCTTCTTCTTCTTCTTCTTCTTCTTCTTCTTCTTCATCTTCTGCTTCTTCTTCTTCTTCTTCTTCTTCTTCATCTTCTGCTTCTTCTTCTTCTTCTTCTTCTTCTTCTTCTTCATCTTCTGCTTCTTCTTCTTCTTCTTCTTCTTCTTCTTCTTTTTCTTCTTCTTCTTCTTCATCTTCTTCTTCTTCTGTAAAAGTGCTGTATGCACATTATTGTGTGGTTTACAGCTAGCTTTCAGTAACAGTGCCTTTTGCCCTGATGCATCAAAACTCAGAATTTAATTAGTTGCCTTTTATGACATGCTTGTTAGGGAACATTTGGTCTATGTATATGTTATTATTATTATTATTATTATTATTATTATGTCTATGTGTGTTTGATTGGACAAAGAAGAAAAGAAATATTGACATCTTAAAAGATCTGAACATCAAGGAAGATTGACTAATAAATAGCATCCTTTCTCGGAAGCTGAAATATTTTGGTCATATCAAGCGCCACAACAGATTGGAAAAAATTATAGCAGAAGGCATTGTACCAGGAAGGAGGGGCAGGGGCCAACCGACACGAAGATGGGCACAGGATATAAGTGACTCCTTGAGTATGAAAGTACATGAGGTGGGAGAACTGGCGAGAGACCGAGTTTCTTTCAGGCAGATTGTGATGAGAGCGACGTTCTGCAAAGGACCTGCTACATGATGATGATGTGTATATGATAACTTTGGCTCCCAGATGAACCCAGCCTTAAAAGAATACTAGGTAAAGTCCTGAGAAATAAAGGTGGCCGGTGTGATGGTGACCACACCACCCTCCAAGTGCTGATTTGTCTAAAAGGTCTAGCCTTATATGCCCATTATACCCAAAGGTGTGGAAGAGGCTGCTTTACCTGACTGTGTGAATGAGGAGTCATCCATAAGTCCTTACCCAAGGAGTAACAGGAAAAAATGGGAACTTGGCACCTTTATAGCTCATGATATTATTACAAACTGTGAGAAGTTTACAGCTGATCCTGTGAGACCTGTACTTGATGTTATGGTGTACAGCGCAGTACATCCTGCTGACCAAATCTACTGCCCACAGTGTGCACCACAAATGGAGCCATCAGATGCCAGAGCATTCATACAATTCCTGATGTCACAGGGTTAAATACTAGCCGAATTACACACAAAGATGGAATCAGTGTTTCATAAAACATATCCTTCATTTACTTCCTTAAAAAAAAAAAAAAAATTTGGTGTAGACAGTTCAATTGTGGCCGCACAAATGTTTTTGATATGCTGAGATGTGGAAGACCCATTCTCAGATGCACGGATAAAAATGTAGAGAAAAAAAAATGCAGACAGTCATTGTCCAAGATCGGAAAATCACTACTAGGAACAGAAGGAAATGAGGGTAACTTGCTGTCAACAGTTACTCAGCTAGTGTCTCTCAGAAAACATCTTGGTTGGGTTCACCATTATGACCCCCAATCCAGCATTGCCAGCTTGCACCGTAAATCTCCAAGTTCCCCCCACCTTTCAAATAAAGCGTGCTGAATTGTGCAGATAAAGTAATGCTGACAGGTTGTTGTTTTTTTTGACGTCAAAGGTGTTTTTTAGAAGAAAACCTGCCTCGAAGGGAGAGTGTTAATTGACAGTATTATTCCGGTCTCCTTACAAAACTTAGAAAAGTTGTGGCAAGCAAATGAGGGATTGCAAGCGCTCTGATTGTGCAGCTAGCAGTCAACAGTTTGACTTGAAATTCTCACCGCCATATTCACCAGAGTTGGCAGCCTCAGACATTTTTCTTTTCCCAAACATTAAAAAACAGATAAATGGAATTCAGTTTGCTATTGATGAAGAAGTCACATTGGCGTTTGATAACTGGTGACACTTGAAAAATAGTGTGTTTTGTTCCTATGGTCTTTTCAGAGTGAAGAAGAGATGGCAAAAATGTTTAAATTTGGAAGTCTTTATTACGGCAAGAGAGCATCAGACAATCGACATAAAGATAAAAGACCAAAGTTTAAAACAAGTTTAACACTTTAAATACTTGTTGGCAGAATAGACAGAGAGATTGAAACAACAAGCCAACAATGTCACTATCAACCGATCCCAGTTTTGAATCACCAAGCTACCCCAATAGAGATTAAAAAGACAAATTGTCAATGCATTCTTCATAACAACCTTGTGCTCTCAGTGTCAGACTTGGACATTGACTAAAGAACAAGAAAGAAAACTAACCACATGTGAAATGAGATGTTTCAGAAAGGTTGTGAACAACACTAGAAGAGATCATGCGAGAAGCAAATAAATTACAAGAACTATTGGAACAGCACCTATAATTAAATTCAGTAAAAAAAAAGAAATAAAGGCCATTTAGTGAGAATGAATCCAGTAATGTCAGTAGTAAGAGCATAGCACGTGAAAGTAGAAACACCAAAATGTTGGGGGCGACCAAGAAGAAGATGGACTGACAGTGTCATTGATACTTTGAGGCTCAGCAGCATCACAGCGTACGGACAACTGAGCATGTCCTAGCTCGGATACCTATTGTCTGTTATCCTGTGAAAACTAGTGGCACAAAGCAGAATATGGACAAAAATGTGGGAAGAAGATTAGTATACTGTCTATGTATTTTTATTATTATTATTATTGTTGTCTGTGTGTATGTGTCCATAGGTCTGTTGTATGCTGTGGGAGGTCATGATGGCAGTGATCATTTACGGAGCGGAGAAGTCTTTGATCCCAAGCATAATACATGGAAACCAATAGCTCATATGGCCACTCTAAGGTAGACAGGCAGATTATTTGTCTGGTCAATAATGTATGTTTAACTGTGGTGTATATGCGTGCATTTATATATATTTGTTTGTGTGTGTACATATGTTTGGTATGATTGTATATTTTAATGTATACTTTCACCATCCATATTTTGGTGTATTTTAGCTGATTCTCTTCATATGTACATCAATATATAAACATAACATGCTTTAACTCTTTCAGTCCTAGGGGTTTAGCATCGAAGGCCCAAAGGATAGTACAGGGAAATGTAAAATCGGTGCATCTTGCTTTCACCGGGCTTCTGTGTAGGAACATAGGATGTGTTTCTTGGGACTGAATTTTAAATCAAGAATTTACATCATAGCACTCAGGACACTCCCATAAGTGCTCCGTCCCCATCTTTGGCATCGAGCGAAGAGTTCCACTTCCACTGGCACCAGTAACTGTCTGACTGTATTTCCGTTTCACTTTTCCCTTGAGTTTTGACCATTGGCCAGATGCCCTGGTAACTCCTCGCAGCGCCATTCTCTTCAAACCGTAATGATCTTTTTGTCTGTCTGCCTGTTCACTCACTGCCAAAGAGCCCTCACAACATCTAGCATTTCATAAATCAGTTTACCACCAAGTGGTGCCAGTCTATCTGCCTGCTCATTTCCCAACACACCAGCATACCTGGAGAAAATATCCTAAGAACGCTAGCTACTCAGAACCTCTGAAGCGATGCTTGCCACTTTGTATGGAGCGTGCCTGTCTCCACCTTTCTCAACATGGATGTCAAGGACCTGTGTGGCTATAGAATGACCTGAAGGTGATGATAGTGAATGACAGACTAGCACTTAGATGACCGCTTAGAGACTACGTGTTCAACAGCCCACGGCAGTTTCCGACAAGGACATTATGACAGACGAGTGAAGACTCCAGGGTTCGGTAAAAGTTGACTGACCGCAAGGTGAACAGTGGACCAGACAAAACGAACAGAGCAAAGGGTTTCAGGGAGTTGGCTCAGAGACCTGGGATGTGACGAAGACCTGTTTTTGACTGCCAGAGTTTTTATAAGTTGTCTTCGTTTAGACACTTATCTGGAGTTTAGGAGATGTTTAGTGCTAGTGTGACTGTGTTATAATTTAAGTGTGATTAGGAATAGGCAGTTTAACTTAGTAGCACAAAGCGGGACCTTATATCTCCTTCAACACCTGAAGCGGTAAAAGAGGATGTAAAGAAGAAGAAGTTTAACTTAGCTTTCTGTAGAGATAGTTAGTGTGATTAGTGTTAGCTGGTTGAAGTACTATTCACATGTTTAGTAATTTGTATATAAGCTAAATCTCATTTTATCAGTTAAGTTAAGGTGATCCTGAATCTCATTTTATCAGTTAAGTTAAGGTAATCCTAAATCTCATTCTGTTGGTTTAGTTAAGGGGATCCTGAATCTCATTTTATCAGTTAAGTTAAGGTGATCCTGAATCTCATTTTATCAGAAAAGTTATGTTGATCCTGAACCTCATTTTATCAGTTAAGTTAAGGTGATCCCAAATCTCATTTTATCAGAAAAGTTAAGTTGATCCTGAATCTCATTTTATCAGTTAAGTTAAGGTGATCCTGAATCTCATTTTATCAGATAAGTTAAGGTGATGCTGAATCTAATTTTATTAGTTAATAAAATTCTTGGTTTTCTGTTAAGTTAGACAGTCCTCATGTATGTGTGTAGGTGTTTGTGTGTGTGTTTTTATATATATGTATATTTGTGTGTGTTTATCTGTAGACATTTTCACTACATGCTTTTATGTATTTTAATTGATAATCATATTATGTATACTGTTAAGTGACCACAACATGGTTTATAGATAAAATACAATTGCTGTGTCAAAGAGGAGTGTTTGGAAGAGCCCATTTAAATACGGGCCTGCATGCCCAATTTATAACCATTGGAAAGTAAAGTTGTTGATTGTGGACAGGCGAGGAATAGCCCTGGCTTGCCTTGGTGGTGTCATCTATGCCGTTGGAGGTCTGGATGATACAACATGCTTCAACACCGTGGAGAGGTATGACCCCAAGGAGGATTACTGGAGCTTCATTCCCAATATGGAAGTTCCCCGAGGAGGTGTTGGGGTGGCAACACTCAAGGTAGGTTATATATTTCTTACAAGATTTAAAAAAAAACTATTGTATTTGCAGGCTGTATTACATTTTAGGGCACTGTTGGATAAGAGGCAGAGGGGGCATCTTTAGCTGACAGATATTGGGCTGTTTTGTTTTAATAGCGTAGTTTACATTCTGTAGTTTACTATTACTTTCTGAATGGTGGCTCTCCATACCATTTTTTGAATCAACACAAAGCTGTTTGCTGTCAAATTGCCTGCAGCTGGATCTAAACCAGCTACCTCAGCATTGCAAAGCGGGTTCTAAAATGCCCAAGCCACAGATGCCTACACGCTACTCTAGTACCACTGCCTGCAGGCCTTCAAATTGCAGCTTTTCTAAACCGCGTGCTGTAACAATTGAATCCTGGTACTCCCTTATGGGTTCTGGGGCCATATTTTGTGGGGGGGGGGGGGCAATAATAGACTCACTGCCCCCCAAACAAGCATGACCTACTAGGTAACTAGGGGTATTTCCCTGGAATTTGGTGTGCATCTGCCAGAGAGACAAGGAACCAACCTTCTTCATAAAAATAATCGAGATCTGTAAAACTTGTGTGTATGCAAAACTAAATGTCTGGACCAAGACCAGTCCAGGAGTGACCAAACCACCAGAACTTTATGATGGAGATTACAGTCAGTGAGCGCTAAGAACGAACAAATGAACAAACAAACTTTATTTTTAAAGGGTTAAGAATTGGGCACGCAGGCCCGTCTAACATTCTGCCCTTCATGGTCTCCCTCAGTTCCTACATCATTTCATTCACACATCAAGTAATAAACATTATCAAAAGCATCAAATGGAATGTCTACATTTCTAACTACAGTAAACCATAGTAGTTGTAACAAATCTAGGGAAAATGTGCGTTATTTCTAACATATGTTTTATCTTCTATGGGGGCATATAATCTGTGCTCAGATAATATTAGAACAGATTCCGGTTGTATGTATAGGGATTAGTGGTACTTTTGATTTGCTGTGGCAGATAGTTCCACAATTGTGCTGCAGAGTACACCAGTTGTTTTGTATAGATCTATCCTAGGTTTACTGATGTGTAATATGTTTAGGCGTTTACTGTGCCTTTCATTATATTTAAACAACGGCCATAAGTAACATGGAGCCTTTTGAGATACTATTTTGTAAATAAATTTTGTCTTATTGAAAAGTAGACGTTCACGAAGCGGTAGTAGCATAAGACCTTTATATGTTTCGGAACTCACTGTCTGATGATTGTTACTAATTAAGCGAGTGGTGTGCTTTTGCAGTGATGTGAGCCGCTTGATAACAGCTGGAACAGCCATTGTATATGGTAGAGCAATAGTCTATATATGTCTGGATGCGAGAAATATAGAAAAAGAACATTGGATCGTCGATTATTATGAAACAGGCAGTGCTAAGTTCCCCCCATGACTTTCATCTCTTCTAGGGCAAGCTGTATGCCCTAGGTGGCAATGATGGAACCAGCTCATTGGACAACTGTGAAAAGTATGACCCCTACACTGCACGTTGGGAGACCATAGCTTCCATGCACAAGCGCAGAGCAGGAGCAGGAGTGGCAGTCCTGGATGGATGCATTTATGTAGTTGGTAAGTTGATGTTTAGACTGTTTGTGAATATTTGCTGAAGAGTTGGGATAAACAGGAAATGAAGGTATCTTAAAGACAGCTCACGAGGAGAACTAATTATCCACATCAGAAACAAAAACCAGTCTACATCCTGGGGGCACATGGTGACAACGTGAAAGTTGGAGGAAGAGAGAAGCACAGAGAGACAACAGTCTGAACACAAATAAGTTGCATCATTAAATTGAATCTGCATGCAAAACTCCCTGGAACAAGACAAAAGACCAGCTGTGGACAAACAACCAGAACTTTCCTCTGGAGTTTATAGTTGGTGAACATGAAGAAAAAGAATACGGGGAAGGTTGGCTTGGTTGGCTTGATGATTCCTCAGGTGGGTTTGATGCTTCCTCAGGTGGGCTTGATGATTCCTCAGGTGGGTTTGATGCTTCCTCAGGTGGTTTTAGTGTTTTCCTCGGTGGGTTGGATGATTCTCCAGGTGGGTGGATGTTTTCCAGGTGAGTATCATGTCTACTCAAGAGGTGTGTTTGATGTGTCCTCAGGTATATTTGATGTTTCCCCAGATGGGTTGGATGATTATCCAAGTGGCTGGATGTTTTCCAGGTGGGTTTCGTGTTTACTCAAGAGGTATGTTTGATGTTTCCTCAGGTGGGTTTGATGACAACTCCCCTCTGGATTGTGTGGAGAAGTATGACGCTGAGAACAATAAGTGGACTCTGGTGGCCAGCATGTCTTGTTGCCGCGGTGGTGTCGGGGTCAGTGCCCTGGGAGGCCGTTTGTATGCTGTCGGAGGACACGATGGTTCCAACTACCTCAACTCTGTGGAAACCTTTGACCCTTTAACGAACAGGTCAGTTTATTTTTTCTGTGAATAATAATTGTAAAATCAGTGACGGTTTGTGGAGACCTCAGGGTGCCTTGGTGGGTGGAGAACATGCAGTGACAGTTTGTGGAGACCTCAGGATGCCTTGGTGGGTGGAGAACATGCAGTGACAGTTTGTGGACACCTAAAGGTGCCTTGGTGGGTGGAGAACATGCAGTGACAGTTTGTGGACACCTAAAGGTGCCTTGGTGGGTGGAGAACATGCAGTGACAGTTTGTGGACACCTAAAGGTGCCTTGGTGGGTGGAGAACATGCAGTGACAGTTTGTGGAGACCTCAGGGTGCGTTGGTAGGTGAATTACATGCAGTGACAGTTTGTGGAGACCTCAGGGTGCGTTGGTAGGTGAATTACATGCAGTGACAGTTTGTGGAGACCTCAGGGTGCGTTGGTAGGTGAATTACATGCAGTGACAGTTTGTGGAGACTTCAGGGTGCGTTGGTAGGTGAATTACATGCAGTGACAGTTTGTGGAGACCTCAGGGTGCGTTGGTGGGTGGAGAACATGCAGTGACAGTTTGTGGACACCTAAAGGTGCCTTGGTGGGTGGAGAACATGCAGTGACAGTTTGTGGACACCTAAAGGTGCCTTGGTGGGTGGAGAACATGCAGTGACAGTTTGTGGACACCTAAAGGTGCCTTGGTGGGTGGAGAACATGCAGTGACAGTTTGTGGAGACCTCAGGGTGCGTTGGTAGGTGAATTACATGCAGTGACAGTTTGTGGAGACCTCAGGGTGCCTTGGTGGGTGGAGAACATGCAGTGACAGTTTGTGGACACCTAAAGGTGCCTTGGTGGGTGGAGAACATGCAGTGACAGTTTGTGGAGACCTCAGGGTGCGTTGGTAGGTGAATTACATGCAGTGACAGTTTGTGGAGACCTCAGGGTGCGTTGGTAGGTGAATTACATGCAGTGACAGTTTGTGGAGACCTCAGGGTGCGTTGGTAGGTGAATTACATGCAGTGACAGTTTGTGGAGACTTCAGGGTGCGTTGGTAGGTGAATTACATGCAGTGACAGTTTGTGGAGACCTCAGGGTGCGTTGGTGGGTGGAGAACATGCAGTGACAGTTTGTGGACACCTAAAGGTGCCTTGGTGGGTGGAGAACATGCAGTGACAGTTTGTGGACACCTAAAGGTGCCTTGGTGGGTGGAGAACATGCAGTGACAGTTTGTGGACACCTAAAGGTGCCTTGGTGGGTGGAGAACATGCAGTGACAGTTTGTGGAGACCTCAGGGTGCGTTGGTAGGTGAATTACATGCAGTGACAGTTTGTGGAGACCTCAGGGTGCCTTGGTGGGTGGAGAACATGCAGTGACAGTTTGTGGACACCTAAAGGTGCCTTGGTGGGTGGAGAACATGCAGTGACAGTTTGTGGAGACCTCAGGGTGCGTTGGTAGGTGAATTACATGCAGTGACAGTTTGTGAAGACCTCAGGGTGCGTTGGTAGGTGAATTACATGCAGTGACAGTTTGTGGAGACTTCAGGGTGCGTTGGTAGGTGAATTACATGCAGTGACAGTTTGTGGAGACCTCAGGGTGCGTTGGTGGGTGGAGAACATGCAGTGACAGTTTGTGGACACCTAAAGGTGCCTTGGTGGGTGGAGAACATGCAGTGACAGTTTGTGGACACCTAAAGGTGCCTTGGTGGGTGGAGAACATGCAGTGACAGTTTGTGGACACCTAAAGGTGCCTTGGTGGGTGGAGAACATGCAGTGACAGTTTGTGGAGACCTCAGGGTGCGTTGGTAGGTGAATTACATGCAGTGACAGTTTGTGGAGACCTCAGGGTGCCTTGGTGGGTGGAGAACATGCAGTGACAGTTTGTGGACACCTAAAGGTGCCTTGGTGGGTGGAGAACATGCAGTGACAGTTTGTGGAGACCTCAGGGTGCGTTGGTAGGTGAATTACATGCAGTGACAGTTTGTGAAGACCTCAGGGTGCCTTGATAGATGGAGAACATGCAGTGACAGTTTGTGGAGACCTCATTAAAGGTTGGACTACAACTAACTTATGAAAAGACAAATATATTGAAGATGCTAATAACAGATCAAGCAGTTGTAACACTAGAGACAAAAGGAATTAAATTAGCAGATCAATTTACTTCTTTAGGGTAATTTTGATTGTGCTCCTTTGATGACATCGCATCACTAACAATGTATTGAAAATGTTATTATCCGATCAATAACTCTAAATATTGAAAAGTTGCATTTTTACATAAAAGGAAGTAATCACTTATTACATAATATCATATAATGAACTGATTTCCTTACCTTTGACCATATAAAAGTGGTTTTTGTCACTGTGCCACACTTTGAAAAAAAAATGTTTGTCATTTGCAAATAATATCTAAAACAAAAGTTTTGGATAAACTACCACACACTCAGCTCTTGCTCCAGCACCAAAACTGTCATCCCAGCTTTAGGGGGGAACTGTCATCCCAGCTTTAGGGGGGAACTGTCATCCCAGCTTTAGGGGGGAACTATCATCCCAGCTTTAGGGGGGGAACTGTCATCCCAGCTTTAGGGGGGAACTGTCATCCCAGCTTTAGGGGGGAACTGTCATCCCAGCTTTAGGGGGGAACTGTCATCCCAGCTTTAGGGGGGAACTGTCATCCCAGCTTTAGGGGGGAACTGTCATCCCAGCTTTAGGGGGGGGAACTGTCATCCCAGCTTTAGGGGGGGAACTGTCATCCCAGCTTTAGGGGGGGAACTGTCATCCCAGCTTTAGGGGGGGAACTGTCATCCCAGCTTTAGGGGGGAACTGTCATCCCAGCTTTAGGGGGAACTGTCATCCCAGCTTTAGGGGGGAACTGTCATCCCAGCTTTAGGGGGAAACTGTCATCCCAGCTTTAGGGGGAAACTGTCATCCCAGCATTAGGGGGGAACTGTCATCCCAGCATTAGGGGGGAACTGTCATCCCAGCTTTAGGGGGGAACTGTCATCCCAGCTTTAGGGGGGAACTGTCATCCCAGCTTTAGGGGGAAACTGTCATCCCAGCTTTAGGGGGAAACTGTCATCCCAGCTTTAGGGGGAAACTGTCATCCCAGCATTAGGGGGGAACTGTCATCCCAGCTTTAGGGGGGAACTGTCATCCCAGCTTTAGGGGGGAACTGTCATCCCAGCTTTAGGGGGGAACTGTCATCCCAGCTTTAGGGGGGAACTGTCCAGAGACATCATGTCAACTAAAACCTGCAGCAACTATAACAACTTCTTTCTAGGGTCAAATGGGTTAAAGATAATCCTTTAATCCAGTCCAAATGGATTGATAATCGTTGAATCCAGTTCAGTCCACATACATTTAAGATAGTCCTTGAATCAAATCCTGTTCGTCTTGCGGATTCTGGGGCTTTTTTTGGGGGGGGGGAGGGGGGGAGACCCAATGTCCCCATACAAGGTGACGCATTAGGGGTTTTTCTTTTAAGTCGGACTGCATCCGCATGTGAGGTGAGGAACCAACAGTGCATACAGATAAGCCAGAGCTGTAAAAACGGATGTGCACGTAAAACTCTGAAACCAGACCATAGTTTAGAAGTGGACCAACAACCAGAACTTTCTGCCAGAGATTACAGCTGCTGAATACTAAGAATAATCCAGTCTATTCCAGTCGCCATATCTGCCAATCTGGCAAATAACAATTTTACCATTGCCTATCACCAGGTGGCAGCTGCCGTAATGTTGTGGCTAGACACTCACCTGCAGACTGGAAGGTCGTGGGTTCAAATCTGCATAAAGCCAGATTTTTTTCATACATGACTATGACTCCCAGGTCGACCCAGCCTTAAATGAGCAACAGGTAAAGTCCTGAGTAGTAAAAAAAGCTGGCATAATGCTGGCCACGTCACCCTCTGAGCGCCCATCGGTCTGTGAAAATATGAGTCTAGCCTTGTATGCCCAATGTGCCACTGGCACGTATAGAGACCTTTACTTTACTTGTATACCTGCAGGTGGGAACCTGCGCAGGGGATCCAGCAGTATCGAGCCGGTGCTGGCGTGGCCTTCTGCGATTGTTCCCCCAAGCTGTTACGACAAGTCACATCTGCAAACAGCACTGGGCATTTATAGAGGATCACGTTCCAGTGTCTTTCCACCAGGAATCTACTGTGCAGTTTGGGTTGAGAGTATGTTGTGTGGTGTGGAGATCAGATTATTTTGTCTGAGAATGTTGTGAAGTGGTATGGTTGGGAATATATTGTGTGAGGATGTGGAAGCAATGATAGATTTGGGAATATGTTGTGTGGTCATGTTAGGGCAGTGTTGTGTTTGGGAATATGTTGTGTAGTGATGTTAGGGCAGTGTTGTGGTTGGGAATATGTTGTGTGGTGATGTTAGGGCAGTGTTGTGGTTGGGAATATGTTGTGTAGTGATGTGAGAGCAGTGTTGTGGTTGGGAATATGTTGTGTAGTGATGTTAGGGCAGTATTGTGGTTGGGAATATGTGTGGTGATGTTAGGGCGGTGTTGTGGTTGGGAATATGTTGTGTGGTGATGTTAGGGCGGTGTTGTGGTTGGGAATATGTTGTGTGGTGATGTTAGGGCAGTGTTGTGGTTGGGAATATGTTGTGTGGTGATGCTTGGGGCAATGATAGGGTTGGGAATATGTTGTGTGGTGATGTTAGGGCAATGTTGTGGTTGGGAATATGTTGTGTGGTGATGTTAGGGCAGTGTTGTGGTTGGGAATATGTTGTGTGGTGATGTTAGGGCAGTGTTGTGGTTGGGAATATGTTGTGTGGTGATGTTAGGGAATTGTTGTGGTTTGGAATATGTTGTGTGGTGATGTAAGGGCAGTGTTGTGGTTGGGAATATGTTGTGTGGTGATGTTAAGGCAGTGTTGTGGATGGAAATATGTTGTATGGTGAATATAGGGCAGTGTTGTGGTTGGGAATATGTTGTGTAGTGATGTGAGAGCAGTGTTGTGGTTGGGAATATGTTGTGTAGTGATGTTAGGGCAGTATTGTGGTTGGGAATATGTTGTGTGGTGATGTAAGGGCAGTGTTTTGGTTGGTCATATGTTGTGTAGTGATACTTGCAGCAATGATAGGGTTAGGAATATTTTGTCTGAGGATGTTGTGCCAATGATTTGGTTGCCAGTTTGTCTGTGTGGTGGTGTTTAGAAAAGGTTGTGTGATAGTATTTGACCAGTGGTGGGGTTGCAGAAATGTTTGTGGTGATGTTGTAATTAAATGCATGGGATCATATATGATGATTTTTTTTATAGTGGTACGGCTGGGAAAATATTATATGACAGTCTTGATAGTACCAGTTGGGGGGGGGGGGGGGGGGGAGAGAAGGGTAATACAAGAGACTGTGCATCGTACGTCACCCTTTAGCCAAATAAGAAAAATGTATGTAAAGTTATTAGAACATGTTTGATGATTTTTTTCAGTAATATGACTGGCAGCATGCTGAATGATGATTTTATATAACAGTACGGCTCAACATTAGTTTTGTGTGGTTGTATTCTCTGTCAGTTATTTGTCTGCTGGCATTCTATGTGTTGTTTGGGTAAATTATCTTCTGAAGAATCAGTTCTGATTATTTTTCTCTTGTGTTTCCCAGTGGATGTTTCATTGTTAAATTTTTGGAGGCAATTGGAGGGGGGGGGGGGGGGGGGGGGGGGCGGTTACGAATTTCTTTGAAGAGATAAAATAATGCATATGTGTTTTGGTTAAGATTTAAACAACTGATCAACATCATGGCACAAGGGTAGTAACCCATAAGTGCTCTGTTCTACTTCTGACTCAAGCCTGAGTCCAAAGAATCTTAGCGCAGTGCACGAAAACTGTAGCACCAGCGGAGATCCTGAAAATACTTTGGGTAGATTCTTAACTCCAAATTTTGTCAGGGCAGCGCTGTTAGACTAGTCTTTTCTATTTCGAACTGCCAACGTAATTTTTGCATGCGCAGCAATACACAGTGGCGTCCGATCTTACTACCCAGAGGCCAGAGAAAAAAAATTACTAGAAGTCCGCGTGGAAAAATCCCAGCTTTCATCGGGGCTTGAACTCGGGACCTCCAGCACTCGAGGCAGAAGCCATAACCCGAGACCACTCAGCCCCATGGGTATATGCATATAGGTATTGTCTTTTAGATTAATTAATTTTTTTTCCATATTTTGTCAAGTCTGTTGTGAAGTCTATTTTTATGTTTGTTCTTTGCTTTTGCAGCATTCTTTCTTTGTTTCTTTGTTTCTTTGTGATATCTGTTCTTTGTCTTTTGTGGTGTCTGTTCTTTGTCTTTTGTGGTGTCTGTTCTTTGCTTTGTGAGATATGTATGTTTGTGTGTGTAGGTTGTCTTTGAAGTGAGTATTAATATGATTTATATACAAAGAGCTTCAAACGAAAAACATTAATTTGTGTTAGAATTACAATAAAAATGCCATAGCCTTGTAACTTGTTGTAAGAAAGTTGATTAACTTCTTGTAAAAATGCTGGCTCGCTAGGGAGCAGACAACTTTCTGCAATTAATAATGCCAAACAGCGGTCAGTTTCCAAATACACATTCTGTTTATTCTTTCTGTTTCTCACATTTCACAGCTATTCAGTTATAAACATCGCTGCTCGCTTTCACCTATATATCCGTAATAATCTTTCACACGATAATAAAGCATTTCAGTTACTACATCACACCATCACAACTGTCTTCTTCCAGCTCTGTTCCCAACTGATGACGAGCCAACCTTGGGCTTTGCCTAGTTTATGGCTTCAGCTTTGAATGTCTCCTGGCGTCATCCTTTGCACGGGTGTTCTGTTCAGCTTGCTGTGAGCGTGTAGACCATGCAACGCAGGGTCATCACACTTGTCAGTTTTGTTGTTGAGGATGTAAAATATGTTAAGCATGTGATATCAAGATGCAGGTGACGTCATAAAGACAGTTTATAGATTGCCGCCCGCTTTTGACCTGCACCAAAGATGAACAGGATTCAGGTATTTTTTTTAAATTGATCGATGGTGTGGTCAGACCGATAGAAATTCATCAGTGAATGAAGTTCCAGATGTCCCAGTGTGCAGGAATGTCTCACAGTCAGTCGGCAGTTTTCCTATACAAGACTTTCAGCGGCTGCAGTCAGTTTTGGTGCCATAGCTTGGTATCCCTGTCACAGAAGTGGCACTGGTTTGAAACTTCCCACTCCACTGTTTGAAAACAGAGAGCCTCATGTATAACCTCCCTACATCCAGTGTGAGAATGGAGGGGGAGGCGGTAACAGAAGCTTTCTAATGGCCTTCTAGCCCTTTGGTCTTGGATTCGAATCAGCATCAGAATTGTTTTCCCACATTTGACCATGGCTGCCGATGCATACAAATATAGGTCATTTTCCTGATGACACTGTTATACAAGAGTCCTGTAGATAGTGAGGTTGATTTGTATTTTCGTGTGTTGTCTTTGGAGGGATTTTGGCTTCTTTTGTATTAATTGAATGTGAACCCTATGGAAGATTGTCTTTTTTTTTTTTTTTTTTAGTATCCAAAAACCATGAGTTGTTAACCCTTTGGCTTGGTACTGTGGATAAGGCAACCCTTCAGCCTTGATTCCATGATAGATACTGTAAATCTGGGGAAAATTTAGCTTTTATGCCTACAAGAAGTTCTTCACCCGGTCGCGGCGAAGTCATGTTTAACTAACTAGGCTAGTGAGCCTGAGAAGATTGTCTTAACCACTCTGAAGATGATACACTGGAGTTCTGGTTGAACGAGTGTAGTTTCTTCATAAAGGTCTGTTGCAGAGTGGTCCTTTCTCGTTCCAAGCTCAGAAACCAGCATGCAGCATTATCTCTACATGCAGTAGAAAAATCACAAGTCTATCAAATTGGCATTCTGTTGCCAATCAAGCTGTGTAGATCAGTGGAAACGTGCGTCACATCAAAGCCTCAATAGAGGCTGGTGACATTCTCATCTGGCTCAGAGAACAAACACAAGATGAAGCCAGTAGGTTGAGAAAACCCACTGCTTGATCTAGAAGATTGTGGTGTAACATATCCTAATCTTAGATGCTCACATTTGTCATCATTAAGACAGACTTTTTACATTGACCTTGTTTCCAGATCTATCTAGCCTTAAATGGGTAAGAGGAAAGTTCTTAGGAAGTAAAGGCCCCTGATGGGATGTTGACCACATCATCCATCAAGTTCTGATTGGTCTGTAAAATTACGCCCAAAATGGCTCGCAATAAATTGTGCAATTTATTGTTTATGTCCGTATTATTAACATTCACGATGGGAAAACATTGTTTTGAATATACAATTATAGTCAAATCAAACATCATGTGTCCAATATGCTACTGGTGTCAAGAGAATGGTTGTTTACTTGACTTTTACCGTAACTCCAGTGTGTCACTGGCAGTTATAAAAAGTCTTCACTGTTGTTGTTTTTTCAACCTTTACGGGATCCCTTATGCACCATTGGCGTTGAACAGGGGGTCATTTTGCTAATAACCTGTTATTACGTTCAGTTTTGTTTTGTTTGTCTGCTGCAGTTAATGAGTTCATTTTTTATGCTGCTGTCGGACTGACATTTTGTATACACACACATTTTATGAAAATGCAGTGTGATCAAAAATATTTTGAATTTATTTTTTGTGGTGTTTTTTTAAAATTTGTTTATCATAACTTCATTGTGTTTGTAATGTGGCAGGGGTTGTCCCTTTTTCTTTCTTTTTTTTTCACATTAGCACAGTGCATTGATCAATGTCATTTTCATAAAGTATACATGACTCTGGGAGATTGATCGATGTCATTTTCAGTCAGTTATCATTTTCATAAAGTGTGAGTGACTCCGGGTGATTGATCAATGTTGATTTCAGTCGGTTTCATAAAACATGCAGGATACTGATCAGGGTTAATTTCAGTCATTTTATAAGTCATGCTGGCTGCCAGAGATTGATCATTATTTAATTCAATCATTTTGATACAATATGCATGATTGTAAGGTGCTGTTGATTCCAATCATTTGTGTTAAAGTTTGTACAACTCCCTAAGAATTATCAGTATTAATTTTGATTATATTCATAAGTTTGTATGACTCCAGAAGATTGATAAATGTTGATTTCAGTTATTGTCATAATGTATGCA